GCTTGTTCTTCAAGCCAAAAAAAGCCTTTGTCAAGATTCCAAGTTTTGCTCCCAAGATTCAATCTTTCCTCTATTTTGGCATCTAGAAGGGTAAGATCTAAGCTTGTCTAGTCTTTTTGGTTCCATCTTAGTTGTCTTTTTCTTAAAGGTTGGATCTTTATGATCTTTTGGTTTGATCTTGAAGTGGGTTTGGCTAGTGAGCTTAGTGGAGAGCTTGTTGTGGTGTAAGAAGAGTCTTTTGGTCTTCAAGAGGTAACCCATGCTCTACAAAACCTATTTTGCTTACCTATATATGATTTCTTGGCTTCTATTTGTGTTTTGCTATGAAATGTGAGAGTTTATGCATTTATCTTGTGATATTGCATATCTAGAGCTTGTGTTTAGGATTCCTTTGTGCCATTGCTTGGCATTTTCCTTGGTTCAAGTCATTTTGTTGTGTTTGGTGAGATTTGGCATGTGTTGGACTTGAATTTGTGTTTGAAGGAGAAAATCCCCGAAGGGATTGTTTTACACAAGAGCGTGTACCCGCGGGTGGAACGGCGGGGAGAGCCCTACCCGCCGCCCACCCGCCGGTACACGGGAATGTGGGTGTTGTACCCACGGGCCCGTGGGTCCACCCGCGGGGAACACGTTGGAGTTGAGATGGGATTTGTTCCCCGTGATTTGTTTGTCTCGGTCTTTGATCTTTTGGCCTCCCGTTGTTCTTTTGTGGAACTATTTGAGCGTCTTCTTGATGTTTCGTAGGTCTAGAGCTTTATGGTAAGTATCCATGTAGGATCTTTGGTGTTGTGAATCGTGCTAAGTGTTCAACATTGTGTTTCGTTGAACTGTGTGGTGTCTTGTGTGTTCCTTGGAACTATCTTGAGTTTCCCCGTTGTTGAGCTTGCTAGTTATTATCTTAATGCTAGCGTCGTTGTTGTCGTTGGGTGGTGACCTGACTCTTGATTGAGTATGTTTCATACCTCTTTTGCAATCCGTTGCTTGTTTCGTGTGAGTGGTGGTGCGTGTGTGGCTCTACTTGGATTGCACGATTAGTGGTATGGGACGCTAGTCACCAAGGTATTGCAGCGGTCCTCGTGGTGGCCATGACGTGATTATGGAGTTGTGGCTGAGTCTACGTGTTTGGGGGATAACATTGTGTTATCCGGGCATGTGTTGCCGTGAATTGGTGGGTTTTCGTTGGTGGTTATAGGTGGGGGACGACGGTCCCGGCGGAATAAGGTTGGACTTGGCTGTACAGGAGTTTTCTGGAGGTAATGGTTGGCTTTGAAGGTACAAGGTTGGGGGTAGCCATAAGGTTGGAACATGGCATAAGGAAGGCATATCAACTCGTGATGGGTGATGTCACGAGGGCTTGTGTAGCCGTTGTTGTGTGATCTTCTCTCGTGACGTGTGTAGTCACGGAGGCTTGTGTTGTTTGGCATGTGTTGCCGTTGGGTGAGTCTTTATCCTTGTGTGTGGTTAACCTTAGTGGTTGGGATGTGTTCCCGGTGTTATCCTTGTGAGTGGTGAGTCTTGTGTTGTCTTTTGATCTTGGCTTTTGACTTATATATATGTATTCCGTTTCGAAAATGGTTTTCATATTATATATCTACCTATTTATGATACTTAACGGTATTGGTGGGTTACCAGCATCTTTCGCTGACCGGGCGTCGCCCCGATGTTTATCTTTGTATCTTTCAGGTGATGCGTAGTCAAGCGCGATGTCTAGAGCCGGTAGCTTAGCACCTGTATCTTTAGACAGTGTTTTTGAGGCCTATGTGCCAATGTCTTTAGTTATAGTTTGTTGTTTTTGGGATAGTGATACAATTGCAGATTGTCGCCGTAGCGTATGCCAAGTGTGGTATACGTGGCATAACACCCCGTTTTGGATTCCTTTTATCCAGTTATCTTTCTATCTTCCGCTGTGCTAGTGTTTTGTTGTTAATTTGCATGTGTTAAGACTTGTTTTTAGGTCTTGTTTTTGGGGGGTGTTACAGAGGTGGAGGAAGGAGCTGTTCCGCCGGTGCAAACATGGACCTTGGTGGGCAGGTTTTTAATGGCTAAGCTGGTAAAACTGGAGTATATGAGGCAAGTCTTGGCTTCGGTTTGGCAACCGGTGATGGGGGTAACGGTGAAGGAGATTTAGAAGGGGCTGTTTCTATTCGTTTTCTTCTATGAAACGGATGTTGACTACGTTCTGAATGGAGGGCCGTGGGCTTTTGAGAACAATACCTTGGTGTGTTGCCTGGTTGGAGATGGGGTTTTTCCGGTTGATGTGGCCCTGGATTCTGTTGACATGTGGGTGCAACTTCATGATCTTCCCATGGGATATACGGCACAACCAATACTTGAGCAGATTGATAACTTTATTGGTACCTTCGTTAAACATGATGAAAGGTTTGTGGGGGCGCCTTGGTATATCCTTTTACCGTATATGGGTGTCGGTTCCAGTAGACAAACCGTTGCGGAGGCGTATGAAGCTGTTGAAGCGTGACAAGACCACGTGATGGGTCAACTTCAGGTATGAGCGGTTGCATACTTTTTGCTTCTTCTATGGTTTATTGGGGCACTCGTATAAATTTTGCGTTAAAGCTCGGGTCTCTATGGTTCCGGTTGAACAATACCCTTATGGCGCGGAGATGAGGGTGGGGGGTAGTCGGGGTCCGAGAGAGGTGGGGAAAAGTTGGTTGGTTCCGGTGGGTGGCAGGCCGAGGGTTCTTGATGGGGCGGTCGGGCAGTGGGGGACCGGCCGGGTGGTGGGATGGGTGAGGAGGGAGATCTGTTGGTCTCGGGCAGTGGCGAGTTGGCCGAACCGGTGGTGGAGGCGGTGGCTAAGAGGAGGAGGGAGGTGGGGTATGAGGGTGGTAGGCGGGTTGATGGGGAAGATACTACTATGGCCGATGTGTCAAAAAACATGTTCATGGCGGGCACTGCTGGGCAGTCCCGCCCATCATTATGAGTACGTTATCTTGGAACTGCCGTGGCTTGGGTAATCCACGGACAGTTCAGGAAGTGGTGGACATGGTGTCTCGTAAGCAACCCGACTTTGTATTTCTGATGGAAACTAAAGTGGGACGCGATCACGCTGAGCGTCTTCGTGTCAAGATTGGCTTTGAAGGATTGTTTTATGTTGATAGCAGTGGTTTGAGCGGATTAGGTGGTGGTTTAGCATTGTTTTGGAGGAAGAATAATACGGCAAGGCTCCTTAGTTACTCAAAGAACTATGTTGATGTTGAGGTAACTTAATCGGTTTCCCGATGTGGCGTATGACGTGTTATTATGGATTCCCGGAACGTACCAGGCGTACTGAATCATGGGATCTTTTGAGGACATTATCAGCTAGATCAGGCCTTCCATGGATCGTTGTGGGGGATTTCAATGATTTATTATTTCAGTATGAGAAAAGAGGGGGAAATCCACATCCGAATAGCCTCCTTCGCGGCTTTGGGGATACTATTGGGGATTGTGGGTTGACTCAGATGCCTATGGATGGCTATCCGTACACATGGGAGAAGGGGAAGGGAACAGTTAATTGGATTGAGGAGATACTTGATACGGTCCTGGCAACAGATGAGTGGCGTAGTATGGTGGCAACGGCCATGGTGGTGAATTTGAGAACCCGAAAATTTGATCATTCGGCTATCTTTCTGGGTATCTATGAATCCTTAGGGACGAGTGGGACGAGAAAGAGGGGATTTCGTTTTGAGACAGCGTGGTTATATGAGGAGGGATAGATGTAGAGGGGTAGTTGAGCAGTCATGGCAAGAAGGAAGGGGGCAGGGTTTGCAGCACTGTATTGAATACTGTGGTAGTAGGTTAACACGATGGGGTGGAGATCGGCATAATAAGTATGGTAAACAGATTATTGATCTAAAGAAGAAGCAGCAACGACTAAGGGGGTGCACTGACCCGGCCTCGCTTGCTGAGTTTCAGTCCCTGGAACAGCTTCTAATCCGTACTGAAGCCCATGAGGATGCCTACTGGAGGTAGAGGGCCAAGCAACACTGGCTCAAGGAGGCCGATGTCAATACCAAGTTCTTTCACATGTATGCCTCTCATCGTAAAAAGAAGAATACTATTGCTAGACTAATGAATGATAATGGGGATTGGGTGGAAGGGGAGCCTATGAAAAATGTTATTTTGGAATATTTCAATCATATTTTCTGCTCTGAAAATCTGGGATCTGGGGAGAGTTTTTTCGAGGGAATTGTCCCGCGGGTCACTCAGGCACAGAATGAATTGTTATTATGGCCCTTTGAATTAGATGAGGTTAAAACAGCTCTGTTTGCAATGTTCCCTGATAAGGCACCGGGCCCGGATGGAATGAATCTGGGTTTCTATTAGCATTTTTGGGATGTGGTAGGGGGGATGTCGCGAGCTTTGTCATAGGTTGTCTTGACTCTCGCAATTTACCACCTGGTTTAAACAGTACTGATATTATTTTGATCCCAAAGAAAAAGACCCCTGAGCTAGTAACTGACTTGCGCCCTATAGCTCTCAGTAATGTGATCTATAGGATTATGGCAAAGATGATAACGAATAGAATGAAGCCGCTAATGGAAGGAATAATATCGGAGTCGCAGAGTGCCTTTATTCCAGATAGGCTTATAACTGATAATATTTTAGTAGCAGCAGAAGTGGGTCATTTTTTTATCAGGAAACAGTGTGGCACGGTGGGATGGAGTGCTCTGAAACTTGATATGGCAAAGGCCTATGACCGGATAGAGTGGCCTTTCCTGGAAAAAATGATGCTGACTTTGGGTTTTAATGTTGGATGGGTGGAATTGATCATGAAATGTGTAACTACAGTCTCGTATAATTTATTGGTGAATGGCTCTAGGAGTGATTCCATTATACCTACACGTGGTTTAAGGTAGGGAGATCCATTATCTCCATACCTTTTTATTATTTGTGCAGAGGGTCTTTCTTTATTATTGCAGCAGGCTCACAATAGGGTTTGATCCATGGTTGCAGAGTAGCAAGAGGTGCTCCCCCAATCTCTCATTTGTTTTTCGCTGATGATAGCCTTCTATTTTTTTAAAGCTAATGTCGAAGAGGCTAGTGAGATAAAGAGATTTCTATCAGTCTATGAGGATTTATCTGGGCAAGTGGTTACTTACCACAAGTCAAGCATATGTTATAGCAGAAACCCGAGTAACGCAAGTAAGGAAGTAGTGGCGCAAGTTCTGGGAGCAGGGCAGGCTCCTAATTTTGGCAAGTATTTGGGACTTCCCTCATTTGTAGGGAGAAACAAAAAGGCAGCTTTCTCATATATTGAGGATAAAATCCGGCAAAGAATTGGGTCATGGAACAAGAGATTATTATCGCAGGCAGGTAAAGAAATTTTATTGAAAAGTGTAGCACAATCCATCCTACCTTCTCAATGAGTGTCTTTCTACTGCCAATGTCTGTGTGTACAGCGATAGAGAGGACTATGAATCGTTACTGGTGGGACTCTGGAACTGATAGGCGGATACATTGGAAGGCTTGGGACAAACTGTGTGTCCCTAAGAAATATGGGGATTGGGATTTAAGGACTTGCGTGCTTTTAACCTAGCTATGTTAGGAAAACAGGAATGACGAATGCTTACTAAACCTGAGTCCCTGGTAGCTCGTATATATAAAGCCCGGTATTATGCCAAAGGCTCATTTTCTGATGCACAAATAGGAAGTAATCCCAGTTTCTGCTGGCGGAGTATTATGGCAGCTAAGAGTATAGTCTGTAGTGGGGTAAGACGCAGAATTGGAAACGGGGAATCTACTCTCATATGGACTCACCCCTGGTTACAGGATGACCAAGACCCCATGATACAAACAGAAATGCCAGTACAGTTACAGGATGCTAAAGTGGTGGGTTTGATAGATCAACAGACGCGAACATGGGACCTTTCAATTCTAACTAATCTATTTCAACCTGATGATGTGGCAAATATTTTTAAAATACCAATTTCCCCGGAATATGATGATACTTGGTATTGGCATGGAGACTCGAGAGGAATTTATTCTGTTAAATGCGGGTACATATTAATAGTTGGTAATTATGGGAATGAAAATGGGACCTTTACAAAGTGGTTAACCCTGTGGAAACTCAAAATCCCCCAAAATGGAGAATGTTCCTATGGAGAGCCATTTGTGATATTTTGCCTACCACTACTAACTTGCTTATAAAGAGGGTTGAAGTCGACCCACGTTGTGCCATGTGTGGAATATCTCAAGAGGACACTATGCATGCCTTAGTGTTGTGTGAATTTGCAAAGAACATTTGGGACCGATCCAACCTTCCAATCCCCAATATTGTGACGAATGTTTTTCATATTTGGTTTGGTGAGCTCCTAAATGTTTTAGATTCTGATTGGATGTTATATGCAGCATCAATCCTATACAATATTTGGAGAGCACGAAACGGGGCGGTTTGGAATGCACTACTACCATGGCCACTATCCTTGCTGGCAGCCGCGACTACGGCAATGCAGGCGTGGAAACGGGCGAACCCGCCAGTAGCTGCCCAAGCCCACGCACCACTGCATGCATCGCCACATCACCAACTCGGCTCACATGCGTTACTCGGGTCCCATGTTGCTGTACAGGCTGTGCCACCTCGGAAGTTTTGTCGGATCGACGCCGGTTTTATGCACAACACGGGCAAGGCTACAGTTGGGGCAATCCTCCTCGACATGAATGGAGGGTATGTCTCGGCCTTCACTGCGCCCCTCCCGGATTGTTTTTCACCTCTTATGGCCGAGGCGTTGGCATGCAAGGAAGCTTTGTCATGGTTAAAGGATCGAGGGGAACAGAATATCGAGGTATATACAGATTGTTTAACGCTACAGCGTTATCTTACTACACTACCTACTGCGTTTCGCTCTTACGACGGCTATGCCATTGATGCCTGCAGAGCAGCTGCAACTTATTTTCAATCTTGTTCTTTTCATTTTATTACTAGACTAGATAATTTTTTAGCTCATGCTTTAGCTACTTCGACCTATCAGCAATCTGCTGCTATGTACTGGGATCTTCTCCCACCTGACATTATCTAGTAAATTGTATAAAATCAACCAAAAAGCTGAATTTTAAATATAAATCATAAATGCTAGATATTAAGCACTAAAAAATGAACCACTAAACCGAATAAAACTAAAAATTCAATCATAAACTCTAAAATCGAGACCCAAAGTGCAATGCACTTTTGCATTTTTGCAAGTGCAATCTTTTAATACTAAATATGCAAAATGTTAATACTAAATGTGCAAAATGTTTATACTAAATATGAAAAATTGGAAAAATATGAGAATTATATATTTTAGTGTTCAAGTTTGCATAGTAAAATTGGTGATAATTACAAAAATACCATCGTATTTTTTTTTTTAAAAAAAAATTGATCTGATCCATCCGATTTTTCCAAATGTAAGGCTGAGATTAGTTCTTATTTCTCTCCCTCCTAAAGACTTGTTCTCATTTGATTCAATACATACATACATACATACATACATACATACATACATACATACATACATACATATATACATACATATATATATATATATATATATATATATATATATATATATATATATATATATATATATATATATATATATATATATATATATATATATAGAGAGAGAGAGAGAGAGAGAGTCCAAATCAAGTAAAAAGAAGCGCCTAGGTAAAACACGCAGAGAGATTTAAGCAGTTGATATATTCAGATTAACAATTAAAAAAAATGCACTCATAAGGGCAACCTCAATAGTGAGGCATTTTTAAGGGATTTTGTCATAGCCATGTAGGAAAGAGAGGGTAGAGGGAAGAGAAAAAGGGAAGAAGGAAAAAAGTTTAAAAAAAAAAAAAAAAAAAAAAAAAAAAAAAAAAAAAAAAAAAAAACTGACATGAAAAGTTAAAAAAAAAAAAAAAAAAAAAAAAAAAAAAAAAAACCATTCACGCGCCAGCTGGGCGCAGAAGGTGCGCCTGCACCTTCTCCTTCTTCCTTTTATCTCTACAAGTGGGCCCCCCTAAGAACCCCATTTTGCAGGAGTAAAATCTCCTAAAAAAACTTACCTTCCCATTTGTGAAAATCCATTTTACTGTTCCAAAGTCCCCTTTTGGGGATGCCCTAATATAACCTTGTGCACCTAGAAAACAAAACTTGTACACTTCAAAGTTAGAAAGAATTACCAAAATGCAACGGCGCATTTTAACTTATATTACTCTATGCACTTGCAATATAACACTTGTGCACAAAAGAACAAAACTTGTGTACTTCAAAATTCTGCACTTTTAATATAACCTTGTGCACATAAATAACAAAACTTGTGTACCTGAAGATCAAAACTTGTGCACTTTAAAGTTAAAAAGAATTATCAAAATGTCATGGCGTTTTTTTTTTAAACTTATATTACTCTATGCACTTGTAATATAATACTTGTGCACCTGAAGAATAAAACTTGTATACTTGAAAAACAAAACTTGTGCACCTAATAGATAATAGTTTTGAATTGTTGTCTATTTGTGTATAATTTTAACAATAGTTTTTGGCCTTGTTTTGTAACATGGCTAATAAGTCAATAGGCTACTTTAATGGGATGTTTGGTAAGACGGAATTGTAATTCCATTCCTACCAAACTCCATGGAATTCAACTCCATGGTTTAGCTGGAAGGAATTACAATTCTACCATTCCCTCCAACCATGGAATTGCAATTCCTAGGGTCCCCTAGGAATTAGAATTCCATACTTTGGAATTGTAATTCCATGGTGAATTACTGTTTTACTTTTATTATTATTATATTATTATTATTATAGAAGGGAGTTAATTCCATTTTTTGTCCTAAATTTATAAGTGACAGTCCACTTTTAATCATTTTTATCAGAACATCCCCTTTTGGTCCTAGTATTATTATGACATGACCAATTTTGGTCATCTATCAACAAAATCATTGAAATTTCATTAAATTGAAGGACATTTTTATCTTTTTAATACAAACTGCGTTGACCCGTTAGATTTTTTTATATTTATTTTTTTGAATAAATTCATAATTGAAGAGCGAAATGTCTTTAGAGTTAACAAAATTGCAACGATTTTCTTGATAAAGGACCAAATTGGTCATGTCACAATAATACTAGGACCAAAAAGTGATGTTCTGATAAAAAAGGACATAAAGTGAACTGTCACCTATAAATCTATGACAAAAAATGAAATTAACTCTTATAGAAGGGTATTTTAGTTTTTATTCACTTCTTTCCTTTCAATTCTCAATAATTATATTCCTGCTTACCAAACAATGTAATTTAAATTTTCACTTTATTCTTTTTTAATTGAATTACAATTCCTTTCCCATAATTCTTTCCAACCAAACACATTGTAAATGTTTGGTAAAATGACTTATTATATTAGCTTACTAGTATTTGCCCCGTGCGATGCACGGACAAAAATTTATAAGTATTGTTGTAATGTTATGATACAAAGCAGAATTAATTTTATTAAAAATGTAAGTATAGTTATACATTGTAATATTTAAATGTTAAGACAATATATGACAAAAAATGCATTCATATTGCTGACCTCATTTGCAATAATGATCTTACAAAGTTAAACGGACAGAGATAGACCCGGACCACCTCGTGATTTACACACAAAAAAAAATAATGATCTTACAAATCTATTAATATGCATTCACATTTAGGCGGAAAATTTTTTTCCCTACTTAATTTTACTTTACCTAACTTTCTTTGTAAATAAATTATTAAAAAACTAATCAAAATTACAAACTATTAAAAAATTAGTACATTTATATATCATCAAAATTGATATATAATACTCGTAGAAATTAATCCATGATTACATGAATTTATAAATTTGTACGCATTTTTTTTTATCTTGCATCTTTGTGTTGTATAAACTCAACAATCTCTTTTATATATATATATATATATATATATATATATATATATATATATATATATATATATATATATATATTGGCATTATAAAAGTAAAAAATAGATCAATTGACACTAAATAATATAACATAATAAAAAATAAAAGATAATTATATTATTTAGTGTCAATTGATCTATTTTTTACTTTTATAATGCCAATATATATATATATATATATATATATATATATATATATATATATATATATATATATATATAAAGATAAAGATAAAGATTTATGATGATTATGAAGCTCCTAAACCCTTGATATTCCATAACTCTCAAATGCACCAAATGGAGGAAAAATATTTTCACCTTAATTCTGCTATATTATATATAGAGATAGAGATTGGGGTAATAAGCCAAAATCTGAAAAGCTAAGAAGAGTAGACTTTTTGGTTAGCTAATTGGCCTTAATTATGAAATGACCATTTACCCTTATCATCCCTAACATTTATATCTTTCTTCTTGTTGTTCATTTGCCTTTCCTTTTTTTCTTTTTGTTTTCGTAACAACAAAAATGTATTCCTTTAAAAAAAAATTCATTCATAATAATAATAATAAATAAATAAATAAAAATTGTAAAAATAATTTAAGAGTTAATAAATTAGCACACTATATAT